TATATTCTTTCCCATCTTTCTAAAACTTTCGTTAATTAGCTGCTTTCTCCTAATACGGTTAAACAACCAGAAAGAACCAGCAACTAATCCCACCTAATGAAGCCACGTAGTTTCTTACAACTATGTACATATTATGGCCGAGTGGTCTAATCTGTCAATAATATGACCAACAGAGCTAAGGTTAGAGTTCCAGCGTTGACTTCACAATATTTCTACCATTCCCTTAAAAACATAGAGAGTTTTCAGTGTCTTGAACTCTCCAATTTGTGTCCTACACTCCACAATTCCCATTACCTAACGAAAGTCCAGTATGCAGTGCCGTTCCTGGGGTGGCGAACGCCTACGTGCAAGAATAATTTTGTGCGCCCCTATATACTATGCTTAAATTTTGATGATAAGTTTTGATGAATTTGGCGCCCCTTAAATTGGGCGCCTGCGTGCGGGGCATTCGCTGCATACTCGCCAGGAACGGCACTGCCAGTATGTCCAGTTAAATTTCTTTTTTTTTTATTTTGAGACTATGCTAGTTGCAAATGATATAAAATGGTTTACGTATACATCTTGCAACGCCAATACAAAAAGATTTCTATGCCGGATAATCGTGACGTCATATTTCGACCACACCCAAACGTTAACAAAGACACCACAACGAGACATTTAATGTCTCAGTGACATCATGATGTGACGACTGCGGGGCATATCTATGTCTGGACAAAGGCCAGCCGCGAATCTGTAAAGACGTGAATTTGTCACAAAATGTAACAAGTTCCATCCACAAAAATGCTTTCAAAATTTCTTTAAAATAATAGTTCAAAATTCCTTACTAATCTCTCTTTGACTATATCAGTGCTTAGGAGTGGCTTTAAGCAATCCAATCTCTTCTCTCCCGGATGATCACACTTAGGAAAGTCCACATTACATGAAGTATTCACCATGTTTCGAAAGAATTCCCATGCCTGAAATATAACCTTTCTTGTATTCATGCCAAAAAACTTGAATTTTACTTCAAGTTAAGCTACACACTCAGAAAACTCAGTTCAGAGTCGGACCTTTATATCCATACCACTGTGAATGATCAAAATTGATGGTGGTTGACTGTCCCCTGTGAATGTTGACAATCACATAGTCGCTTCGGTAAATGTCTAAAATGCCTATTAGGTCTAGTTAAGTGCCACTGCCCGGTATACATTAGTCCGGTATGCCCTATACCAACGTTTTTTTTTAAAATTTCAGTTTCACTGCCCGGTATACCCTCCTACATCAATGCTTTTTAAGGTCAAGTGTTACTGCCTAGCATGCATTTAATTACTGATATTTCATACACTGATATTTATTATAAAATATCCCCAGCACTTATTAAAATCTCGAATAAATAAAATAATATTAGCTTATAAAAAAATAATATCAATGAATAAATTAATATCAAATCGGATATAAAAAATATTTCAGACATTCAACAAAGCGACTATGTTATCGGTGACATTCACAGGTGAAAATCGACATTTTTTGATTTCTTTCATTCGCGGTAACATTCATACTTTGTAACTAATTGGTTGCTTGCACATTTCAGTCGGTTTGCCTAGCGTTCGTTTTAATAGATGCAAGTAGTCTAAACTGAAAAAAAAGGGCTAATATTAAAAAAAATTATTAAAGTTTGTTTTGGTCATTACTATATTCATTGATGTTTATAGAACAACGTAATTACAAAGAAAAAGCATCTTATTAAAATATAATGTTAAACATATGTAAATGTGTAAGTATTTTATGGTATAAACCGGGTGAAAATCAGTAATTTCGTTTTCTTTTATTATCTATACATGAACTTTAGCGCAGTATCTCCCCAAAAATCCTTTAATTTTTTTTATCTCCGAATTTTAGAAATGAAGTTTTAGTTGTTTTTACCGTATGCTACACGACGAAACAAAAACTCACGAAAACGAAACTAAAATGTTTTTTGTTAGGTGTGAGTATTTTAATCTTTTTATTTGGATAAATTATATTTTTGAAGACAAATAAAATTCACTTTCAGAAATTAGTTTTCGAATTAGTTTGTTTGTAGTTAGAATTATTCAGAATTCTTATATTTCATTACTTTCTTATATTTAAAATGATCTTCTGAAGAACGCTGATTTGGAAAAAGCTACATTACACTAGCAACAAAATTAATTATAGAATACTTTACAAGCGAAATTAATAATCCTATATTTGTATGATGTCAACAATGTTTTGAAGTAAAATCTAAGGTCTAAGTTTGGATTTGTTATTCCTATCAAGATATTATATTAAAATTGCAAAATATTTAGTTCTATTTCGTTGCCTTTTTTGAATTTCTTTTTCAGATTTTAGTTTGGAACACAGGTAATCACATTATTAATATAGAAAAAAATGATTATGAAATTTATACTTCACAATTTATTGTAGAACTGTAAGCGTGATGTGAAAAATATTTTTTTTAACTCGAATTTTCTTTTATTTATAAAAAAAAATACTTTTAAATTTTTAATCTTAATTTCAGATTTATTTTAAGACCCTTGATTACCAAACACAAAATTAAAATTTTAATTAAACTTTTTTTATAAAAAAAATAGTGCCAAAACCAGTCTGATACCTAAAATAAAAACTTTATTTTACTACCTCGTTTCGCCTTTTTGAAAACAATAACAACAATAAATTCATTTTTGACAGAGGAAACAAAACTTTATTTCTATTAAAACTCTGTGTTTAATAAATGCAAATATGTAAGGAAAAAACATAAATTTACATACTTATATACTTTTCCTCTCCCTGCTACAATATTTTCAGCAAGTCTTCCTTTTTGCCTATATTTCAAATTCTAACTGGAAAATACTGTAGAAGAAAACGCACGATTTGCCAAAACCAAGGTTATGGCGAAGGGGAATGTGTGGAGAGTGGAGAAATCGCGTAATTTTGAGGCGCTATTCTATTTACAAATAGTATAAGTATTGTTTTTTAAGCGAAAACGTACGAGTGAAGCTATTAATGATTAGGTCAAATTTTAGACTTTAAAATAATTGAAAAATCATTTTTAAGCGCGGCATTGATTATAATAACAATCAAAAATTCGAAAATCATCATGAAACATATGATCACACATAAAAAATTATAAAAATTAAATGACTAAATTCTATCTTACATGTGGATTGAAGAGGTCCAAACACTCTTTTTCTTCTTCGGGTAGTTCTGCAATAGTAAACAATATAAAAGCATTTTTGACATTTTACATGCATTAGTGGTATCACAGTGTAAGAAAGATATGCGTCATTGGCTAATTGAATAATTCCATTCGTTTTAAAAAGCCGATATCATTTTGCAATCCGCCTGGCTAATTGTTAATATTTCCGATATTTTCTAACGACCCTTATACTGAGCCTTGATAACTTATAGATAGAGCGCTTGCATCCCAATGAGTTGTAACCCAGGTTGAAATCTCAACAATGTTTGGTTGATACGAATTCAACACACCGCTCTCACCGAATGAAAATTCCCTAGTGGTAGACGGATAATGGGTTAGAGTCATCTTACCGTCCTGTAACCATAGGCGGTGTTCGTGGTTTTCCTCTCCCTGTAACGCCGCTAAAGCGATTTGTTCCACCTAAAAATAAACCTCCACATACGCAAATTTCTCCCAATACTGATCTAAGAGTTACCTTTTCTTCTGAATCAGGTTCAAAATTTCAGGATGTTGTTGAACATTGTTAGTCTTGAACTCAAAATTGGGTAGGCTGTTCGACGGGGGGGGGGGGGGAAAAANCCCCTTATACGTTTTAGGCTTAATACAAAGAGCTCTCATATTTTTAGGATAATTAGTAAATCAATCAATAATTGCTTAATCAGTCGGGTTTATTTTAGACTGCTTTCCAGCTTAAAACTGGTAAATTCTTTGCAAATTTTCTAATCAGCCTAAATGCATATAAGCTGACTGTAATAAATCTAAAAATATCAGACAGTTTAGAAAATACTTTAGACTTTTCTAATCAGCGTAGCTTTCTTTCAAAAAGTCGGTGACATTTACAAAGGGTCAGATTTTATACTTAGAAAGAGAGTCTACAACATATACAAAATTCTAATCAAAAATTATCCTGACTGCAATAAAAATAATGTTTTAATAAAATATAGTAAAATTCTACCACATTCACAATATTGGTGTAGGGTACATCTCATCAGATTAGTTAGTGCAGATAATATTAGTTGTTTACGTGCACTTTCAAACAAATCAAAGGCGCTGCAGTATACAACTGTTGAAAGAAAAATGCAAATTAATTTATTTGTTAGCAACATTTTCTCTAAGAATTCCAGTTCGAACTACGAAATATGAGGAAAAATGTAGCTTAAATAATGTATCTTTCTTCTTCTTCTTTGAATTAGTGAAATGAGCGACTGCAACTGAATAAATTCAAATAATTTTTTTTCAAACATTATTTTCTTACTTTTTAACTGTAGGAGTTTTTAACTTTTATTAAATCTGCTCTCCAATTTCAACCAGCTGCTCCGAATAAATGTTTGTTTTTCATAATGAAATGTAATTTCCTTTAAAAAAAAATTCGCAGCATTTTTATTAAAATGACTTTTGGTAGCAAAAATCTGAAGGAAGAAACTGTGTTTTTTTAATATAAATGTTAGATACTTATCAAACAATGGTACAAATTCGCTTAAGAGAACATTAAAAATCGACAAACTAATATTGATGTTAATGACGATTAATTATTTTTTTTAATAGGCAGCAATTGAAATAAAATGATGTACTAAGAAGCTAAATTGATGGAGACAATGTACTTTCTCATTAAGGAATATCATAAAAAGTCGTCATAACAATATTGACATCAATACTGTGCATTTTTATAATAGATTTCTTACGTTTTTTCCGAAGATTTTGGTACTGGTAGAAAGTAGCTTGTTCGAAATGAATCTAATTCAGTAAAATTGTCAAATTAAGAAGCCCGATTTTTGATTTTTCAATTCTACGTTAAATTCAGGAACATTTAAAAAATGGAATTTTCTCTTTCGCTTAGCGGAAGCCAGTGTTTTTAAAATAAGCTATTGACGATTCAGTTTTTCAAATATTTTAAAGATATCATCAGTTATGTTTGTTATGTCACATCTTTAATCAAAAAAGATGTTATTTGCGCTTTATACTTAATTATATATTTTTTGCTACGCAAGATTATCTGTATGATTAACATAATCGTGGTAGCATAAGCAAACTACATCACTAAATTAATATTTCTAAGGTCATTTAAAACCATCGTGTTTACTTTCGTTATGCTTTTAAAGTTTGTTTTTATAAAACTTGTGGGACGTAAAGTTATGGACAATATCAACTTTCATCTATGAAAAGATACCCCGACATAGAATCGAGTTAACATGTCTTATATACTCGTGAATATACTCGTGAACATCGTGACATGTCTTATATACATGTCTTATATACTCGTGTATTTTTTTAGTGGTAGACACACTACAGTGTTCCCCCGCCAGAAGTATAGCTGTAATAGAATTCAATGAATGGATATCACTAGTTGATTCATTGCTGTTTTTCGAAAAGCCGGGAGAGCTGTGTTAAGATCACCGTACTTTTGAGTGCTGATCATGAGAGCTGTATTAAGTTCACAGTCGTGGTCGCTCCTGTGTTGCCTTTGGCAGTTGAGTGCATGCGTTGTGTGGGAAGGAGACTGAGTAGCAACAATGCGAGGAGGTGAATAATGTCGCAGTCACGAGTAGCAAGTTAACAGCTCAATGTGGACAATCCATCGAAGTAGACGTGTTCAGATCGAAGTTATTATTTCTAAGTTTATCTAAAACCACGAGTTTATTTTGTTTATAGTAATACTTTTAAATAGTGATATTACAAAACTAACCAATTTAAAATCGTAATTGAAATTAAAACATAAGTTTTATATTGAAGGAGAAAATTATTGGAGCAATGGAATTAATTTGTTGAGGAATAAGAATGAATAAGCACCAATATTATTGTTTGACCCCAGGGATAATTAATTTTGGCAAATTACAAATTAAAGTACAGTAATAAGCTATGTACTGAAGGACAAAATTAAAGGAGAAATATTACTTAGTTTGTTTAAGAGAGTGTATAAAATCAGCAAACTATTAATGTCAATGATGCTTAATTAATTTTGATTATAAATACTAAATGACTGTGATGACAAAAGTCATACAATAGCAATACGCAAGTATACAGATGGGTTGTAGCAAGGCTGTAGCCAGGATATTTTTTCTGGGGGGGGATATGGTTAGAAGCAAGGACAGTTTCAGACATGTAAAGTAGGGGAAAAACATTGTAACAAATATTGTTTATTCTGTTGTTTGCAAAAGTTAAACTAGTGATTAAAAAATATTACATAATAATTATTTTTCAATTAATATTTCATAATAATTATAATCAATTTGTAAACAAAGTTTACAAAGACATTCGACGGGGATTTGAAGAAAATTTTTCGATTACTTTTTTAGGACAAACCGGAATATCCCGAAATATGCTTAATAAACTTAGCCACCTTTCTTCTTTAGTAGCATTTCTTGTTGCTGTTTTTACGCGTTTAAGAGTACAAAAAGTTCTTTCTGCAGTTGCTGTGGTGATTGGCAACGTTGCCAATATTGATAACAAGCAATAAACGTTTGGGAAAAAGATACTGTCACATTCTTCCATTGCTGAAAGTGCCGTATCTGGTCTTCTAAGGGGTTCACGCAGGTTCCACTTTGATGCCCATTCTTCTATTTCTCCCATGAGGTTTTCAATGTCAATGAAATCTGCGTCGATTCGGAAATGGCATAAATTAATATCAACGTTCACACAATACTTAGGTAACACTTTATTGAGAGATGCAAGAGTATCTTCGTGCTTCGAAAATCTTTCAATCAGTTGGGCAGCGAAATAATCTAAATATCAGCGAAATAATCTTCGGGGGAGGAGTCTAACCGAAGGAAAGATGAGCCACAAGGTCAAGTGAAGATGATGCACTAGCGAAGGTGGTGTACTGGGAAAAGGTTTGATTCGACAGTTTTTGTTTTTCTTTTTACTGAGAGGCTCAAAGAAAGACTAGAAAGTTTGAATCCCAGAATTTCGAGGGGGGATTTGTCCCGACGTCCCCCCCCCTGGCTACGAGCCTGGGGTGTAGTATCGCGCACAAAGTGCATATATGGGTGGTGCATTGGTATGACTTTTATTTGTGTTCAAATTATTCATCTGAGAATGTTTCTGATGTAATTATGACCTTAAGACGAAAATTAACAGACTTTGAACGTAAATGGTAGTTAGGACTAGATGCAAGGGAAATTCTATTTCTGATATTGTGAGAGAATTCAACAATCCTAGATCTACAGTGTCAAGAGTGTCGAGAATACCTAATTTCAGGCATAGCCTCTCACCATGAGCAACTTAGTGGCCGAACACCTGCATTTAATGATCGAGACCACCAACGAATGCTTGGAACTGTCAATGTTAACAAACAAGTGACTTTGCGTGAAATAGCAGCAAACATTGATGCGGGATTTGTCTGTTAGGACAATGTGGTGAAATTCGGCTGTAATGGGATATGACAGCAGAAGATCGATTTGAATGTCTTTATAACATCACGACATTACGTCCAGCGCCTCTCCTGGACCTGTGACTACATTGGTTGGACCCTGAACAACTGGAAAACTGTAGGTAGGTTAGATGAGTCTGCTGTTCAGCGATGATGAGAGAGTTCAAGCTTGGCCCAGATCCCATGAAGCCATGGGCACAAACTAACAAAGCACGATGCAATCTAGTGGTGCCTCCATAATGGTGTGTGCTTTTTTTTCATTGCATGGACACGATATTATGGTCTAATTTCACCGATTATTGACTATAAGTGGTTATGTTCAGATACTTGGTGGCCACTTTCAGGCATTCATGGATTTCATGTACTCGAACACTGATGGAATTTTCATTGACAATGCACCATGTCACCGGCCATTAAATGTTCGCGACTGGCTTGGAGATCATTCTGGACAATTCCAGCGAATGGTTTGGCCACCTAGATTCTCCGAAATGAACCCCATTGAACATTTATGGGATATAAAAGTGAGATCAGTTCGAGCACAAAATTCTGCCCCAACAACACTTTCGCAGCATCTATTAAAGCTGTATGGCTGAATATTCCTGCAAGAAATTTCCAGCTCCATATTGAGTCCATGCTACATTGAATTGCTGCATTTTGAATAGCTAGAGGAATTCGGACTCAAAATTAAGAGGTGTCCCATAAGTTTGTCACTTCTGTAAATATGATTTTCCTATTGGAAAAAAAAACTTCTAATAAGATAAGATATATAAGAAAATAAGAAATAATTTCTAATAAGATTTCCGTCTTAACCTGAAGCTTTAGTGTTTTTATGTCATTTTCGACTTTCTGAAATCTTCCTTCTCTCTTATCCTGTTCTTTTCATTCTTATAGAATATGCTTTTTGTCCTTTGCCGTTTTCTCTTTATAGATAAGTCTGGGGTTCACCAATTAGGGCTTTTTTTTCATAGGTCTTGCATATGTTTTACTTAAACTTCTCGCATAGTGTGATTTGTTTCGTGGTTCTTGAGATAAAAATGTCAAGCTTCTGTTATGCATTTATTTTATTCAATTCTTCCAGAGATTGTGTGGTAATTTTTTAATTCAAATATATAGTTGGAATAGGTTTAAATCTGCATTGTTAATTTGAGTAGTAGGTGCTATTTCTCTAAAGTAAGGAGCATGGTGATTAGCTTATAATTACTAAACATTTCGCAGTTTTCAACTTGCCATGCTTGATATCCAATGTATCCCTTCGCCAGAGTCAAATCAATCCAGCAATGGCCAGTAGTTGAACCAAAAGAGAATTAGGTGTGAAGACATCATTTAGAACTTCTAGATCCATCAATCATTGACTATCAATCTTCCATTTTGTATCCTTATAATTTTGAACCCAACCTTGAAGACAACGGAACTCCTGAATCATGCATTGGCACGAGGTAGCCATTGTAGGGGAATTTTTTTTTATGAAACTAACTTGCATTTGTATTGCATAGAGAGAGAAAAAAGAGATATTCAGAGTAACGGCAAGGAGATTCTAAAACATAATCCATCAACCATAGAGAATATTTTACGTCAGCACAGTGTTAGGTGCGAGCCGGAATCAGAATTCATATCATTGAGCCATCAATGGGATTCGAACCTTCACCTCATTGGGAGACAAGCGCTCTATTCTCAGAGCCACAGCGGCTAGAGAAAAAAAAAATTGAGCAGAAAAAACAACACACAAAGAACTTTTCATGCATGTTTGAAGCGGTCTTTAACCCAACAACAATAAATACGCTTGAGGTAAAATCAACATGTCTTTACATTCTGCTTAATCTTTAGATGGTTGCCCATCATTGATACCCCTAAATGTATGAAATATGCAATGTATAAAGATAATGAATAAAGATAATATCAAGATAAGCATACTGTATAAAGATAAACTAGACCTTGGCGCTCGCCGCTACAAAAAAAAAAANAAAAAAAAAAAAAAAAAAAAAAAAAAAAAAAAATGCTAACCCATTTTTTTGTTGTTGCCATATTTAATACTTTATCTTATATTTCATAATTTTAATGTGTTTTTATTTTTTAGTCTGTGTGTTGCTGTATCATGAGCAAGCAACATCACACTGGAGGAGGGAGTAATTGAGTGTCAAAATTCACCGTATTATACCATTTTTTTTTTACATATATGGATGATTAGAAAGAGTATCATATGAGAGAAAGTTATGCAAGGCTTAACAATAATTTGGTTTATTTTCATCTTCCTTTAGAAAAGAAGCTCACAGGTGAATCACTAAACAATGTTAAACATGCATGTTCACAATGGTTTTATTATACAGAAGAATAAATGACTTATTTTACATAATAATGCTCTTGAGTCACAAAAAATAAAGTTTTTTTTTTCAGATGGTTCACGTACATCATGCAAATCAGTTAACTACACGCAATGAATGGCATTAGAGATTAAGGAAAGTCTTCGTTTAAAATTGTTAGAAACGTTGTTTTTTCCTAATTTACCTCAAACTACAAGAAAATAAATTTATTTAAGATCCCATGTTGTTATAGAAAGAAGAAATTAAAAAAATACAAAAATTTGACGAATGTTTATTGAAGCCAATCTCGCCTGAAGGCGGTATTGAAATCAACACACCAAATTTGTATTTAAAACTGGAGCGAAGTAGAAGGTAATTTAGAAACTCCTCAGTTACCCTCCGAAGAAAAACTGGTGTTGATGTTTTTAATAGTGCCTCATGTTTGCCGAATATCGATAATGATTCGTCAAAATTTCAACTTGTTTATTACTAGATCCTTGTTCACTACTGCACACTAACTCCAATGATTTCTTAGTAGCAATTGTTGCTTCTTAGCGTAAAACATTTTTTTCGACGAAAATTGAAATTATTTACTTAAAATACATGTGCTGTAAAGAATTCTGTTTGCTTACGCTTATTACGAAAGGAATGTTGGATATTCTCATGTCCAACATTCCTTTCTTTAAATTAAATATTTATATTTAAATATTTACTATTTATTTTGAGACAATTTTGACTAGTAAGTAATATAATATCTATTAGTGCAAATAAACAATTTTGCTTTGCACCCATTCTTTTGAATAACATTTAAAATTCAAGGTATGCTGATATAATAAATTTGGTGAGTTAACTACACTCATATAATATTTTTGTTTATTAAACAGGCTTAGGTAAAATATTTTATGAAACCCTGATGAATGTTTAGCGAAGAAGGCTGTTTCAAAACGAAAAAACTATTTGATTGCTGTATGCAATTAAATGGGGCTGAATGCTAAAAACACCTACCTTCGACAGTGATTCGCCATATTTTGAAAATTTTTGTTGCTTTATCTTCACTTAAATAATAATAAACGATCACAATTTATTTCATCGTTTATATCGGAATGGTATACAAACTTTTGTCATCTAGTGTACAAATTTCTGATACCATATCGATAAAAATTGATTTATTTTTGAACAAAATATCTGGATGGAACAAAGGTTTTTGTGATCTAGTGTGCAAATTTACAATGCCAGACCGATACAAATTGATTTATTTTTGAGCAAAATATCTTAATGGTATACAAACTTGTGCTTTTGAACAAAATATCTGGATGGCATACAAACTTTTGTCATTTGTTGTGCAAATTTCCAATGCCAGATAGATAAAAATTTACTTTTTTACAATTTTACTTTTGAACGAAACCCGTGAATGGAATGCACAATTTTGTCATCCAGTGTGCAAATTTCCAATGCATGATCGATAAAAACTGATTTATTTTTGAGCAAAATATCTGAATGTCATACATACTTTTGTCATCTAGTGTACAAATTTCCAATGCTGAAATCGATAAAAATTTATGTATTTTAGTACGAAATATCTGAATGGTATACAAGCTTTTGTCTTCCAGTGTGTAATTTTTTAATGCCAGATCGACAAAAATTCATTTATTTTTGAACGAAATATCTGGATTTCATATATCCAGGCTTAAAAAATGGAAAGTGTTATGAGGACAGAGATAAAAGAAATGCTATTGCCCAATGTCTGGAGCATATGGTGGAAAATTCATTAATTATATCCCGAGGTCGTCTTGTAATACAGAATGATTTGTTTAAACTTTTCCAGCATAGATTGATTCATTCGATCCAATTTTTCATAATAGAGTCCTGAATTTTCACGTTTGTCGAAGTTACAAAACTTAAAAAAAGGGTGATTCCGCTATCGCATTTAGGTTTCACATTTAATTGCACGATGGATACGATTTAAAAGTGATTAACAACACTGAGAGCAAACAAAAATGCCTCAATCCTTTGTTTGTGTGACACTCGAACTCAGTTGAGGCAACTCAAATGCGCCAATTTTGGAATACCTGATCTGAATTTGAGCAAGAGAAAAATCTGTGTTTCAATTCCATGAAGCTCGAACTGACCTCATCCATTGCCATCGAAAGTCATTATTTCTCGGTGGATATGGTTCATACAATGCAAAAAATGTAATTTACTTTTTTTCTCAATACATTGCGATACTCGTTTTTAAAGTTTTCTGAGAAAAGTTCTGCAGTTTTGTGCGATTTGGCAGATTTTTGTATTTTTGCAGTTCAAAGAAATCTGAGGGACATGGAATTCATAACAGTTGGCATAAATAATAATATTGTTGTTGTAGCCGACTGGACTGTATAGGGGTCAGGTAACCGACCTTGCATCGGAAAGGTTCTGGGTTCGCACCCCAGGTAAGGCATGGATGACCTAGTGTGCAAATCTAGTTCTAGTCTGTCATTACCTGTATTATCTGTCCTAACCCGGGAGCAACGTTTCCCCGCATAACATGGTGCCTCTGAAAGAGTGTAAAACAAATCTGTCCCGTAAATGCCTGAATTGATGAAATGTTGACACAGGTGGGCATTGGAAATGAAAAAAATTATATTGTTGTATTAGTTTATTATATTTATCTTGAAAATTATGTCATTTGATTTATTTTGCAATAATATGAGCAAAAATTACTATAATCCGTTAACATTTCCCATGTACGTGTGAAAATATTGAGATTTCTTTCAAAACTTTCCTTTTTTAAAAATTAATCTGTTTCTAATTTTTTGATGATTCTATTTTTGGCACGTTTTTCTCAAATATATTCCACAGTCGAGTGGATAACAGGTCTTCGCGGTGGTTCACTCGGAGAGAAAGAGACGTGACCTTTTGCATTTTAGAGGATCATGGAAAACATTTATCATAGAGGATCCATTTTTCATCTTTGATAAACAAAAACGCTTCTCTATTGAGCTGTTGGCGCAGTGGGTTGGCCTACCTTCGTTTTCTTCGAACAGATATTGGCATACTTCACCATACGTTGGCATACATCTACTTGAGATATTTTTGAAATCTTCTGCAAATATTGTAGACAGGATGGTAGACGAATTATGATACTAAGAATCCCACCTTATTTTATAGCCGTTGTTCAACAGCTGACCCAATTTTTAGGTTTACGACTATCAGTGTTCAACTCATTGATATCAGTGCTCAATTTTGAAACCTATCCAGCAGACAAGGGAGCTCCTGCATCAAGTATTGGTATAAATTTGCCTTCGTAGAGGATTTCTGGAACTCACCCTGATTTGTGTTACATGGAGAGGTAAAATACGAAAGCCTCCCCCGGTCAGTATAACAGCAAAGAGATTCTAACCATGATACCACTGGGAATATTTTATGCTAGCATTGTGGTCGGTGAGAGCCGGGTGTGGAATTCGTATCGATCGCTAAGATTTGAACCCTGTTCACCTCTACGCCTTGAGCTACCACAGCTCAAGAGTCCCACTTTGCTAGGATTAGTGAAAAATAACTCCTTGACTTCGCGGGTCTAAATTTCGGCCTGACTCGAAGTTTTCTTCGCCCTTTAATGCTTGCTTGAAATCAGACCGGAAGAATCGGAGATGAAAAAACAGGTTTTTGTTCGTTTCGTGACGTCACGAGCTTGGTGTCAGGCCTCGTGTAAATATTGACCAGTAAGGGAAACTGGGCGCATTTTTCCATGGATTGGACCACATGGCAGAAACATTGCGTAAGTGACAAGCCGTAGTGATTCGAAAGAAGAAGAAACGACTTTTCCAAATTTATTTAAGTTGATAGGTATTAGTTAAGTTATAGGTATGAAATTCTATACATACCAAAATCATGCGTTTCGTACGTTTGACTGCGAATTAAATGAAAGATAAAAAATATCACATTTTTAGACACAAGTACTCAACTCTGTTTCATTGTCCTTGGTAACAAGATCTATATGACAAAAAATGGTGTAGAGGATGAAGCTCGTTAATGGAACAAAAGGTAGAAAGCGTCGAAAAAACGCAAAAAGTTTCAAAAGGCATGATTTACAAAGCTAATTAATTCAGTTTCTATTCAATTTAAAGCATATTCAATTTAAAATCCAGTTTTTTGTTTATTCAGCTGCATTCCTTAAATTCAAAAACAATTAAGAGGAAAAAATGTTCGTATTTAAGTGATATTCCCAAACATTAAGTCCACACAAATTCTTTTCAAAATCAATATCTATACCGGCGTAGAGTTTAGTGTGATTATGTTAACCATTCGCAAATTAACTTGCATCCTTGTTACTGTTGCATATGTCAAGGCATTTGATTTGGGATTTTTGAAAAGTGCATTTGAACAAGCTATGGGATCTGCAATGGGTACTTTCATAGATTGTATAACGTTACAATATTGTGACTGTGGTAAGTTTTTTTCTTTATTATTTATTTCTTTCAAAATGTTTAAAATAGGTTTGTAAGATTTTTATTAAATTGTTGAGATTTCCACCCGCAAGCTCACTGTGCTCATCAATCGTTATGATTGCTACGGAATCAATTTTTTTCTTAGCCGTATTTCGATAAAAAAATAATTAATTAATGACGCATATTAAGAAAATATTTTGCTTTCGACATTGTTATTGTTACATGAAAATAAAAATAAAACATTCAATCAAGTGATCCCGAAAATGTTTTTATTGCATTAACACAAATTTAATTCCCGATCTATTGAGATAAAATTCAAATCTCGTCATTTTACTCTGCCATCATTGAAACTTCATCTACAGATTTCTTTTTTAAACTCCTATTCAAATTTTAGTTACTGTGAAATTTTTAAAAATTTTTTTTCCTTAGAGGTTATTGAGTAATACTGCAAAAAGTTAAGTAATAGTTATGTTTTTAAATTTCATACTTGTTACTTTAATTGCATAAGTTGACAGGACATAGCTTTTTTCTAAATCTTTTTATAGAAGTATACGTAATTGATCGTTTTAGCGGCAATCACTTGATCCAAAAGGCCGCTTCATTGACAACAGTTGGTCGACAGATTATTTCGTCGAATAGCTCGATTCGTCGACAGGTCGTTTTGACGACAGGAGTCGTTTCTAAGGCAAGACGTTTCTTCAACTGGTCGTTGTGTTAATATGCAATTTCGCTGAAAAGACGCTTTCGTCGATAGGTTCATTCCGTCGACACTGTCATTTCGATTTCATTGGGATCCTTTCGACTGGTTAAAACGGGGATGGGCAAGCGTTTTTGGTCGAGGACAAAAAATCGAATCGGAAAAAAAAAGTTTCCTGGGCTAAGTAGAAACTTCTAAACTAAAAAAAATTATAGACAAGTTTTAATTTAAATATTTAATTTGATGTATGAAATTGAGATTTCATTTTTATAAGTTCCTTATACTGAGGTTCGAAGTGACATGTACTTATTTTAAGGAATGAGGCTAAATGCTAGTCTGCTAGTCTACTTCTTAAAAGACTTTCTCTAAGGTTCATAGTTAAAAACACTTATAACATACATAAGAAGAAGCAAACAGGGCACTTATTTTCTGGGGATGAGATATTAAATTCGGGAAACTAGTTTTTGGTAAAGATTTGTAAAACTCAGACTTTGGCACATTTAGAAACTACTGCTTTAGAGGATTCTTAGATTGCAACTAAATTAATTCAAGCTGCAAATCCGACCTCACTGTTTCATAATTTACTTTGAAAGGCATGGCAAAAATATCTAATTCTGTTTGAATGACACTGAAATTTTGGTATCTGTATTCAAACTCAAAATGGAGTTTTTTCAAGCCATCTTCATAATTCTTAAGATTTTCCTTATTTATTGAGTGTATTGAATTTAGCCTCGTGAAATGAGACAAGTCGTTCTTAGCTAGTTGCCCAGCAAACAGATTAAGCATCAGTTTAAAGGCTTTGAGACGGACTCAGATATCATTGAGTAATTGATTTTTCCCTTGCATCTTAACATTCACGTTGTTCATATGACAAAGAAGATCTGTGAAAATGCAAAGTCTGAAAGCCATTCAGTATCTTCTAATAAAATTACATGTACGATGAAACTGAAGATAAAATTATGGTAAAAAAGTTTCAAGACTTTTAGCTTTGGATAATCGATTCGGCACTGATAATCAATCCGATGAACACTGTTTCTCATGTACTTCTTGAGTACATACTTGATTGTACTCATGCTTTCGAAGCATGCGCCTTTTTTCCCTTTCGGTGCTATCTAGGTAAGTTAGGTATTGTTTCCTTGTATGTATTTTTTACGTTTGATCGAATAAATTGAATCGAATGGAGACGTAAATTGATATGCATAAAACCCGTATGCATCTCAATATTAATGCAAATCCAGTATACACACGTCATCTATATTAAAGTACTATAGGAAACTAAATTACAGGAACTAAAAATACAGGAGTTGTTGAAAACTACAAGAGGAATTGAACACGATAGTCGTCACCGTAAACTTCATGAACTATGTAGATCAGCATGCCGAAGAGGGTATATTTTAATAATTGCATGAAACCACGTCATATTATCAACAGTGAGTTTCAACAAGTAACAGCCGGTTCCGTACACCATAATACTTTGCAAGCTTACAAAGAACTGCAACCCCTTAATATCCATGGAAGTATTGCCGCACGTAAACCCAATATCACACTGTCCAATAAAGTAACTAGGCTTGCTGGGTGCAGACAACGTCGCCACTGGATTGTGAACTACTGGAAAACTGTTTTATGGAGCGACGAGCCTCCCTATAAGCTCTTCTAGTCGGATGGGCGATTTCGGATATGGCGAATGCTAGGTGAACGTCTTTTATCTGAGTGTATAATTCCAAGTTCGGTGGTGATTGGTGTTCTTGTTTAAAAATGATTTTCGTGGTATGGTCTTTGACCTTTGCATGTCGTTTCTGGTAAATTCAACACTGAGGCCGTAGGAATATTCTGAACTATTTAGTTCTACCAATGTTCTGGACATTTAACGAAAATGACGAAAATTTCTTTCAGGACGACAACGCTTCGTGTCATCTCAATTCAGCATCTATCAAGGGGTGGTAACATGATATGGATGTAAATCGTTTTCCTTGGTCTGCTCAGAGTCTTGACTTAAACTCTATAAGACATTTGTGGGACGAATAAGAATGACGTTCATGAGCGAAAGGTCTCGGTCAAACGCTTCCGAAATCTAAAGCACAGCTGGCCACATTCTTGCAGCAGGAATGGAATGCAAATGCCTACAGCTGTATGTTTAAATATTGTTACAAGCATGCCTGAAAGGATTAATAGGGGCATTGCAACACATGAGGGATCAATTCCTTTTTAAATATATTTGAAATTTCCTTTTTAAAGTATATTTGAATTTGAGTCACATCTTGTTGTTATTTCAGGGTAATGTAAATTGCATTACAGTAAAATGAGATTTGTGGAAATACCACAATGATTTTGAGCTGAAATTGCTTGACACTTTTCACATTTTTAAGATATTCAAGTCAGACTTTCTTCCCTAGTAGCCAAATATGATTCACAACAAAATCGTACAATTTGTTTTTATTTTTCCTGCCATGCGCACTATAAAAGAGCTAATTTAAATACTCATACCTTGAGCAGTTGTTAACGAAGTTTTTTAAAATTTTAAAGCAACAATTTTGTGGTAAATTATAGTTGCTCCAAAATTTTTATTTAATTTTATTGAATGTTTCTAAAGTTAAAGCGGAGAAAAAAAAACGCAAGACAGAAAAATTCCATATCTCTATAAATATTTAAGCTAGGTTTGCGAAATTTTATGAAGATATAGGAAATAACAATCAAAATAATTAATACAGAATACAAGCTTAGCGATTGATTTTTTGGTATACTTGTTTTCTATTGTAATTTATTGTCAGTCCCCCAAAAATTTGATTAGTTTACTACATAGTATGAAAAGTCACATGATCTAAATACTCTTTAGTTACAAAATAACTCACCAAGTATTTATCCCCAGAGAAATAAGAAAAACAACCTATAAGCGTTCCTTTCATTGATGTAGGATAGTGTGAATCAAATTTATAATCATTTATTTTCATTTCGATTTTTTTACCATGAAAAAATTTTACTATCTCTGAGAAATTTTTAAATAGGGTAAACCAACCAGTGAAGGAGCACTACCCAGTGAAGGAAAATTTTATATATATTGATTAAAAATAAGAATTTGAAAGTTTTTCTTTAGATTGATTGGTAACAATAGCTAACTGCCAAGCAAAAGGAAGTCATCTAGCAATGTTTTGGATTACCTAGTCAAATAGACTTCTCTGGAAGAATTTTTGAATTTGTTATTATCTCTGCAACACATTGTTTCTTTGAAAAAATTACAAAGTGAGTGTTTGTATTTACATGTTTGAAGTGGAATTAATTCCATGTAATAGTTTTATTTTTCTCACTGTGAAAAAGAGAATTCAAAATACAGTTATTGAAGTTACGTTTTATTTTTGTTTTAAGCATCATAGCATAATAAAGTACTGAGATAAGGGGGTGTTTATTCACTGGATCACCAAACGATGAAAAACTAGTGAAGGAACATGCGTTCCTTTACTGTTTTTTTCTTCTAAGTTAATGAAAATAAAGGATAAACTTTAATTTTCTTGTACCTTTAGTGATGTTCCGCATCAAAAGTATGTTAAAAATACGAAAAACAACTTCTAACCAGTGAGGGAACAGGCATGTTCCTTTACTGGGCATAGATTTCCCAGTGAATGAACAGTATGGGTTAATATGTTGATACTTTAATTTTCAATTCATGATTGCAAAAAAAAGTTAAAATTTTCCAAGTATTTATATGTCATATTTTCAAGAATAGGCTTGTTTTTAAATATTTGTATGGCTTATAAATTCATAAAGAGCATTAAAAAATAACCAAAATTAAGTGTTCCTTTACTGGGTGTTCATTCACTGGTAAGAGCTGTTCACTTACTTGGTTTTCTTACTACTTGTTATTTGAACCTCCAAAATTTTAAAACAATATTATGTAAGTTCTCTAAATTTTTTTTACATATTTTGCAATTAGTAACAAATATGTTAACACTGACATTTAACTAAAATTACGAATTTTGAAATTAATATGATTTTTTAAAAGGCAAGCGAAGCTTAAGTGTTCCTTCACTGATTAGTTTACCCTAATTGACTAAAACAATTTTAGATATCATATATATAGATATGAATTTGGATACGATACAGAAAAATATAACAATTTCAGATACTTTAGATGCAGAGGTTGGACAAAATTATGGAGACATTCTTATGCTAACTCATTTTTTCATATATCTTAAGAAATATTTAAAGAATAATTTCAGTACTTAGGAAGTGTTTAAGTCATGCGATTTCTCATGCACATCAATAAAGCTGTTGCAATTAGAGGCTTGAGAGGCAGTCAATAAATTACGTATGAAAAATAGTCTTCTTAAACATGCCAAAAATACAGCACGCATACAATTTCTCTGCCACAAAAATACAGCAGTAACTTGTGATTTGTAACAATTACTTTGGTTGTTATATGCAGTAACTGCAGAGAATTTCGTGAACCTAGCTTAAATATTTGTGAAAATTTTGACATTTTTATTAAAAAAAAAGAATTTTTTTGCTTTGCGTTTTTTTTCAATAACTTTTTAATATTCAATAAAATTGAACAAAAATTTTGGAGCAATTTTAAATTAGTTGCAAAATTATATCCTTAAAATTTAAAAAAATTGTTACAGAAATGAGCAAGATATGATCATTTATAGACCTCCTTTCATGCTTCGTTTCAAACATTTAAAATTCTTTTCATAATTTTGTTTTGCATTGCATTTGGTAATTATGAAAAAATTCCTGTTTGAATGTCTGGAAAATTTAATAAATTTTTCACTACTTTCTAAGTAGCTTTCGTAAATTTTTAATGAAAGCTTTGGTAAGGGATTTTTCACAAATTTTATTTTGTACTGTTAAACAAGATTTATTAAAGAGGTTCACGGTATTTTATAGGACCACACCTATTAAATTGTGCTTTTTTGCATGTTTTCTTTCCCCCTACCATCACATTTTGTTGTTTGGACCATCATTTTAGGAAATTATCATGTTTTTAAATTTTGTTATATGACACAAAATGAAATTTGTGGAAAATACCTTTTCAATCAGAACTTTCAATGAAATTCACAAGCTATTTTGAAAATTGCAAAAAAACTTTAAAAATATTCAAATTGGAGTTTTTTCATTCGATACCAAATAAGATTTAAAACGAAATTATAAAAAATATATATATATATATATTTTCTGCGCATGCGGAAAATGATGGGATTACTCTAAATATTCATATCTTGCTCAATTTTTAAATTTTCTTTTTTTAAAAAATTAAAATTTTATTTTTATTATTGACTAAAAATTTTTTTAAAAAGTTTAATTTTATTGAATACTTTTTTTTAAATTTCTCACTACTTTCTAAGTAGCTTTCGTAGATTTTTAATCAAAGCTTTGGTAAGGGATTTTTCACAAATTTTATTTCGTACTGTTAAACAAGATTTATTAAAGAAGTTCACGGCATTGTACAGGATCACACCCTATTAAATTGTGTTTTTTTACATGTTTTCTTTCCCCCTACCATCACATTTTGTTGTTTGGACCATCATTTTAAGAAATTATCATGTTTTTAAATTTTGTTATATGACACAAAATGAAATTTTTGGAAAATCCCTTTTCAATCAGAACTTTCAATGAAATTCACAAGCTATTTTGAAAATTGCAAAAAACTTTAAAAATATTCAAATTGGAGTTTTTTCATTCGATACCAAATAAAATTTAAAACGAAATTATAAAAAAAAATTAAATATTTTCTGCGCATGCGGAAAATGATGAGATTATTTTAAATATTCATATCTTGCTCAATTTTTAAATTTTTTTTTAAAAATTAAAAGTATATTTTTATTTTTGATTAAATTTTTTTTAAAGGTTTAGATTCATTGAATACTTTTCCAATTATAGTAAGGAAACGTAAGGCAAATAAAAAAAAAATTTGATAAAAATGTCCATATCTTCATGAATATTTAAGCTAGGCTTACATAATTTTGTGCATTTATTGCAGATAATAACCAAAGTAATTGCTATAGTCACAAGTTTATAGCTATAGTTTTTAGCATAGGATACATTTCTTTGCAAGAACATTTCTTTTCGTTTGTAAATTATTATCTGTCCCACAAACCACTAAAAATTTAAATTTTATTAATTTGTATGAGAAATTACTTGAATAAAGTCTTCTTAAGTTTTGAAATGATTCTCTAAGTAGTTCGTGAGAAATATGAAAAGAAGAATTAGAATAGAAGTATTTCATAATTCTGTCCAACCTCTGTAAATATGCAACAATTTTAGGTATCATAAGTAAAAAGGTTTTCTGATTCAGAAATTTGTGTAATGTTACATTTGGAAAATATTCTTAGTGTCAATAAATGTTTTTATTATATATTTGCAGAAGTGCTTGAAGAAGAAAAAATATGTTGGGAAATGATTCCTCAAAATGTAAGTCAAAAAACAGTTCTCTTTGAAATTTCTTATATTTTTTATTTAAAAGACGTAGTTTAGTAAAATTTTATTGTAATAGTTAAACTGTTAAATAAAAAAATATTTCTAATTCTTTCAATTTTAATCTTCGTAATTTACACTCTATAGCAAAAAAAAATTGACGCACCAAGAAGGAGTTGTCCGATTAAAACGAAAATTGGTGAATAGAAAGACAATGTATAGAATAGTAAATGATTAAAATTTCAGAACAATTGAATAATTTATTGCAGAGCTACAGTAACAAGTTCAATAAGCTGTTAACCCGCCTCTAGCCTGGATACAAGCTGCCACACGGCGTGGCATAGACCAATAAAGCTCCCGGATGGTCTCTTGCGGTATTTCCTGCCAAATTCGATCCAATTGTCGAACGAGGTCATCAACATTCCGTGCCAGATGCAATCGCCTTCCCATCATATCCCAGACATGCTCGATGGGAGAGAGATCTGGTGATATGACAGGCCAAGGAAGAGTTTGACAAGCTTGCAGACAGTTCATATCAACACATGCCGTATGTCATATGGCATTGTCTTGCTGAAAAACCAGCCCAGGGAGCTGCAAAAGGAACGGTAGCAAAACAGGTCTTAGGATGTCGTCGACGTACCGCTGTGCAGTAAGTCTACGACCAAAGGGGTCCGGCTGTCAAAGGAAATGGCACTCCAGACCATAATGCCTTGTTGAGCGCCGGTGTGGTGTGAAATAGTGAAGGCAGGATCTCCCCTCTTCCCTGTACATCTCCAAACACGTCTTCAATGATCGTCAGGACACAGTTGGAAGCGCGATTCGTCGCTAAAGACTATACGTCTCCAGTCGGCATCATTCCAGCCATATGTGTTCAAAACATTCATGCATACGAAATTTCAAAGCAATCGGATGATTGCTTCTTGGTGCGTCGATTTTTTTTGTTATAGAGTGCAGATACGACTAGATAACCAACAAATAAAATTATTATACAAAAAAATAAGATGAAATTCTGATGCAAATACATGAAAATCCGACCATTAGATCTGAAATTTTCCAGGGTGTTTATTTATTATTATTATTATTTTTTTTTGCAGCGTGCAGGGAAAAAATACGGAACATCCTGGATAACTTTTTATGTAATGATCGGATTTTCATGTGCTAGGATTCAAACTTAATAGATCTCAGGGAAAAGGAACTTAAATATACTAATTAATAAGTACAAACGATATTTTAAGCTACGAAATCAAATACAAAAACGTACTTTCTCTTAATAAACATACCATTTTTAAACGGATTTTTGATTTTTTTCCCCTCAGAAGCGTAGCCGCAATCTTGAAAATGTAATTACAATGATTTGGTTAGTAGAGCTGTCGAAAAATTAAATCTCCCCAATGTTAATCACAGTTTTCTTTGAGCCTCTTCATTATTTTTTAAGCGTTTTTATATACTAAAAATAGTATTGTAGCTCCAAACTTTTAAGTCATTTCCATCAGTTTTCAAACTTCGTGAATATTCACACTTATTAAAATTTAAAGTTAATTTCCATCTATTTCTTGATTGAACATAATTCTTTACTAAAATTAGTTTTTTTTAAAAAGAATTTATTTTTAAATAAGAAATATTGATTTGTATACAATTATTATGTTCAATTGTTTGATTCCTTTAAAACAAAGCAAAACTATTAGTCCCATTTTTTCTGTTGCTCCGTTTCAAGTACCTTACTATTCGATTACGATTTAGCAATGATAATTCATAATGAAAATGTTGCATCGGTAGTTTCAATCTAATCAATAATGAAGCACAGGAATATACATTGAATTAAACATTTAAAAATGCATGCACGAAGTATTTTGTAAAGATGCATTTTAATGATTTTCTTCTTGCCCAAAACTCATCGTTTAGTATAACTTTAAAATTCAGACAGGGAACCCCGATTTTTTTGTTGCTGATTTAGAATTTCCAGAAAAAATTAGACATTTTTTTACTTTCAGGACTCAGCATCTTATTTCAAAATGGCGTTGTAATCGTAAAGGAAAAATAAAGTAAAAACTTGCTGTTTTTACATATGCCACTTACCTATATCAGCAAGCCTGCTTGAAATCAAGAGAATTTTTAATGCAGAGGGTGCGTTTCTTGTTTTTACAGTGGCGCCATCTATGACCAAAAATACGACTTTAGCCACCTACACACAGCAGCCCGTTTTACAAGGAGGACCCAAACATACTCCATTCATACAGCCATAGATCGTAATTTTGACCTGAACCAGAGAACGATCAATAGCCAATTCAGTACCCTTCACACAGTGGCGGATCCAGATGGGGGTCATAAACCCCCCCCCCCAAATTGAAAAAATAAAATATAAATAATTATTTTTTTAATAGTTTACAAAAGAAATAAAATATTTTAAAAATTATTTAAGGAGCATATACACCTAGGTAGGTCGGAAAAAGCGATTTTTTCTCCCCATCTAATCATGTTCTTCACATTTTCAAAAATCCCTGGACTCCTCATTCCATCCTTGGACTTAAAAAGAGCCACAACCGCTTTGACTGATACTATTTCTATTCTCGAGGATAAAAGAAAAAGAGCCGATACTGTTTTTCAACAACTGTTTTCTGAAGCTCGAGATGTTGCTGAACAATTAAATGTAGAGCTGCGACCAAAACGTTTAGTTTCTCGGCAAACACAAAGAAATAATATCAGCCAAACCAGACCCCAGAAGAATATTTCCGGAGGCTATTTATATTCCTTTATTAGATAATATTTTAACAGATTTAAAGGACAGATTTTCCCCAGATGTGATGAAACTTTTTAATCTACGAGTTTTCTTACCTAGTCAAACTGTTACAGAAGAAGATCTTATAGCCGTTCGTGAAACTGCCGAGCTTTATAAGAATCTGTTAAATGCTTCCGTAAAAGTTGTCGAAACAGAATTTCGTCTTTGGGTGGCAAAATGGCAGCGTGAAACAGAAGGAGGACTTGAAGTGCCCAACTATCTTTCCAAAATTATTAATGCCTGTGACATCGATTTGTACCCATCAATCAATATGTAGTGCAGCAACAGCAGAACGTTCCTTTTCAACTCTTCGACGTCTCAAAACTTGGCATACAGTAACTCAAAATCAAGAACGATTAAATGGACTCGCATTATTAAGCATTCATCCAGAAATTTATATGGATGTTGAAAAAATCATTGACAGATTCGCCAAAGTTTCTGAAAAACGCATTACATTTATTATTTAAAGATTTTGAATACTTGAATTATTTATGTATTGTTCTATTGTTCATTATGAAAAAAATAAATGAAAAGACTACCATTAAAAACCCCAGTTTTTTTTAAATATTAAAAAGGAAAAAAGTATTATAAAAAAAATTAATTGTGGGGGGGGGGTCGGGAATCTGTGACCCCCACCAGGAAAAATTTCTGGATACGCCCCTGCCTTCACAGGTACTGATTTGTTGTGAGTGTTATTGGAATTTGGAAAATTTTTTGATCCCAACGGACTTAACCTGCACCAGTCACTAATACACGGGGATTCTTCGGCCAGCGGGATTTGAATTTCCGTTCTCTCGTACCTGAGTCCAACGTCCTATCAACCAGGCAAAAATCTTTTAAAATGAAGATGTCTGGAGAGCTCGAAAAATCGGATCGATAATAATCGATATAATTTTAAATCAGATCGATATAATTTTGAAAACAAATTATATCAAGTAGGGCGTTTACTCCTGAGCTTGAGCCAGTTAAGGAAGTGAGGTGTTCCATAATCACTGAATGTTCCAGAAGCGTAATTTTCGAATTTTGATCCAATTATTTTTTCTTGAAATAGTTGATCGTTTCCATAGTTTTCGTTACCAGGCATACTACATGCAGGGTGTTTTGTAATGTCCATCTTTAATGTACATTCTTAAAAAAATGAAAATCAAAAAATAAACTAATTTGTGCTCGAACATTAAAATACTCAACCGAGAAGAAGCAAAAGCACTTCCGAAATGGGACAAATCACGGTAAAGGAAAGCAGGATCAGCAGCAAGTCTTGAGGAATAACAGAAAAGGTGAAAAATGATTATTAGAAACAGTTTCAAGTTTCCACCTTAAATCAAATATGTTCTGATGCCTATTCCATTTACCTTACGCTACTGTATTTAGTCAACTTTTGAAAGTTTTTTTTCCGGTACAATATTAATTAGTGATTCCCAATGTGTGTACTTTTATGTTTTCAATTTTGATGATTCTGAAAACGCCTGTTTGATAGATCACCCTTTATTTAAGCTGTTCACTGAAACTTTATAATTGGTAAAAAGCAATTTTGAGTTATTTAATGAGTTTTTAACTTGTTTTCAGGCTATTAGCTTTCTTAGAGACACGGTGATTGCGGAAGTTGAATTCGAAGGAGAAGAACCTGAATGGCCTGACTGTAAAGAGGGAAATTTCAATGAATGCTTTTTGCCTTTTATGTGTTCGGAGAAGGAGAAATTCGTAAGGAAGTTTCAAACTATTTATTATCATTCCTATAACTTAATAAGTTAAATAT